AAGTTCTGTTTTCCAGACAGAAAAAGACAAACCACATTGGAATTTCCAGATATAATTATGTCAATTTCAAGTTCTAGCAATACCTTTGTATAGTAAACATTAAGTATTTGGGACAGTAAATTATCATTATTACTAAGGTTTTTTTATCATTTTTTAAAACTGGTATATTGATGATAACAAGTCCTGTTGGTTTGGTCCATTACTGGTGAAATAGCATTATTTTTTAGTATTATTATTGAAGACAAAGATTCTCACCACTGTACCAATTGGCAGCACCGGAATGGATGGTGAAGAGATTGAGATTGTACACAGCTTTAGTTTGCTTGGCTCCACAGTCAACACTCGTGGCACCCGTAGCCAGGAAATTAAAAGACGTATTGAGATGGGAAAGTCTGCTGTAGGTACCTCTCCAAAGTACTGAAGAGCAGTGGTGTCTCTCTGAAGACTAAGGTGCATCTGATACAGGCCATGGTCTTTGCTATCACTTGTTATATATCGGAGAGTTGGACAATGACTAAGGAGGATAGAAGGAGAATTGATGCCTTTGAGCTGTGGTGCTGGAGAAGAGTATTGAATGTACCATGGACTGCCAAGAAAACAGATTCAGCCTGGAGAGGGTTAGACCAGGCGCCTCTTTGGAGGCAAGGATTCTGAGGCTCCATCTAACATACTTTGGACATGTTGTAAGGAGGGACAGGTCCTTGGAGAGGAACATCATGCTTGGGAGGGTGGAGGGACAGCGCAGGAGGGGAAGGCCCTCTATGAGGTGGATTGATTCAGTGACTGGGATAATCGGCATGGGAGCGTCAGAGACAGTGTGATTGGCACAGGACAGAGCAGGGTTTAGAGCTGTTGTATATAGGGTCACTATGAGTCGCAAGTGACTCGACGGCACATAACAACAGCAATACTATTATTATTATTATTACTACTTCTTATTATTATTGAGCCTATTGCTACAGTCACTGTTTTAATCCATCTTGTCGAGGGTCTTCCTCTTTTATGCTAACCTTCCATCTTTCTAAACCTGATACAGCACTTCAAGGACTAGCCCTCCTAATAACATGCCTAAAGTATGTGAGATAATAGCATTGTTATCCTCTTGTATTTAATAGGTTTCAATTTTGAGGTGAATGTAGAAAAACTAGGATTCAGTCTGTCTCACAGAGATATTTTTGTTTCCCCCAAAGTCTTTTGAGTTTTCATCCAAAGATATATGTAGAAATGCCTACTATCTGTCATTATGGCATTCTGAATGGGGTAGAAGAATTATTTGAGCTACTTGTGTAAGTTTGGAAAACATTGACAAAAATGTGCATAATTGTATAGCGAGCCCACCTTATTGAAGACAGGGACCTCCTTCTTAGGCTTCCCTCAAAGGCCGACATTAAAGAGACTTTGCACATAATAGTACCTGTTCTCCAGGACATTAATCACAGTCAGAATATCTACAAGTATTTCTTGAATGATTATGGCATACTTAGCAAACGCAGAATATTTTGAGAGGCAATCAGCATCAACATTTTTAGTTTTAAGATGTTTGCATTCTTGGTGGTTCCAGGGAAGACAAGCTTATATACATGAAATAATTATAGAATATGGAACTAGATAGCTAACAACATGATGCTGGCAGTCAGCATAATACTTATTTAGAAAAGGCAGAAGGAAGGCCTCATGGAAAAAGAGGAACTTGAAGGAGCCCCCAACAGAACTGATTCCTTCAGGGAAAAGAGCAGAGCTGCAGTGATGATAATGACAGAGATTATGGGACAAGAGGGCTTGGGATCAAAAAAGTAATTTCAAAAAGGCAAAATCATCCTATCATACAACTGTAAAATAAACATGTCAATCATTATATTTAACTCATTAACAAATGAATTTTATTGAACCATTGTTGTTGTGTACCATCAAAATTGGAACCAACTCGTCGCTGACCCTCCAGCAGGTTTTCAGATGTCTTTAATCGCACAGGAGGAGACTGCCCAGCCTTCTGCGGAGCAGCTGGTGGATTTGAACCTTATCATGCCTTTGGGATTGCAGCACAGTCTCTTACCACTAGGCCACCAGAGCTCCCTTATTTAACCATTAATTAACTTATCAATTAAAGAGCATTTGAGAAACTAGGTATGGATGAATGGCTACAAGTCAAACCTATAGATTCATATTATACAACTTAATAAAGAAATAGAAATAAGGGGACTGAAACTGCTTAATGTATTACAATAAATCATACTTTGGCTAATCCGTTCCACTGGGCAGAAGTTATTTGCATCTCATGGACAAAATCTTCTATATGGAATCAATAGTAAATAGGGAGTTAGACCCATGTGGATTTACCTAGACAGTCCTGTGTAGCCTTTGTCTTATTTTCTATAACATTGAAAGAAAGTGCTACCTTTTCAGTCTTATTTTAAAAATGTGTTTATTTTACTGTGGCAAGTGTGTGTGTTTGTGTGAATCTTGGTCTTGAAGTAGTTAAACATTCAACTGCTAAGTGAAAAAGTCTGTGATTTAAACCTACCAGCTGCTCCACAGAAAAAAGTCATGGCAGTCAGCCTCCATGAAGATTTACAGCTTAGAAACTATGGAGCAGGTCTGCTCTGTCCTCCAGATTACTGAGTCAGAGTAGACTATGGCCCTGGGTTTGCATTATCTGTGTGTGTGTGTGTTTGTGTGTATAAACATACATATACAGAGAGAGAGATCTATCTATCTATCATCTATCTATCTAGCTAGCTATCTATCTAGCTATCATCTATCTATCTTTGTTGTTGTTGTGTGCTGTTGAGTTGGAACCAACCCTAGCTCACCCTCCAGCAGGTTTTTAGAGGCCCTTTAATAGCATGGAAGGAGATTGTCCATCCTTCTCTCACAGAGCAGCTGGTGGATTTGAACCACGTTCCTTCAGGATTGCAGTGCAGCTTTTTAGCACTAGGTCACCAGAACACACAGACACACACATATACTTCCCACAATAAAATAAAATATGACATAAAATTTACCACTTAACAGTTTTTACTTCCCACAATAAAATAAAATATGACATAAAATTTACCACTTTAACAGTTTTTACATGTACAATCCATTGGCGTTATTTCCTCACATCCCTGACAACAACGAATAGATGTTTGCCTAGATGCTTCATACACATGAGAACAGACAGTAATTGCCCTTTAATAACGAATTTATTTCCTTCAACATGTTTTCAAGGTTCATCCATGTTGTAACAAATTTGGAGCTTTGGTGGCTTAGTGGCAAGAAGCTGTGCTGCAATCCTGAAGGCACATGGTTCAAGGCCACCAGCTGCTCCAAGGGAGAAGGATAGGCAGTCTCCTCCTGTGCAATTAACTGCCTCTGAAAACCCTCTGGAGGTTCAGCTGTGGGTCGGTTCTGACACTATAGGACACAACAACATAAATAAATAGAGGAGAAAACTTGAATTTGTTATCATCAGAAAACTAAACTCAATGTCAGTTAATTGATTCCGACTTATGACAAAACTTCATCAAGTTTCTAAGGTATAACTGTATTTGTTTTTGAATGAGGATTTATAAATCGTATTTGTTTTTCATACAAGAATTCATATACATTTTGTTTTTTAACATTAATTAGCAGTGATGAATTAACTAATTACAATATCTAATCAGCTAGTGGATGGAGAAGGGATTCAAACTGTCAACAGCTTCATCTTGCTTGGATCCACAATTAACTCCCTTGGTACCAGCAGACAGGAAATCAGGAGACATATTGCACTGGGAAAGTCTGCAGTCAGGGACCTCTCCAAATTACTGAGGAATAATCATGTCAGTGTGAGGGCTAAGGTGCATCTGATTCAGGCCATTGTCTTTCTGATTGCTTGCTGTACCCCTGGTAGCTGGACAATGAATAGGGATGACAGAAGAAGAACTGATGCCTTTGAGTTGTGGTATTGGAGAAGAGCACTGAACATCCCATGGACTGACAAAAGAACAAACAAATAGAACAAATATGTGTTGGAGAAGGTACAGCCAGAGTGCTCTTTGGAGGGGAGGATGATGAGGCTTCGCCACACATACTTGGGCATGTTGCTAGGAGGGGCTATTTCTTGGAGAAGGAAGTGGTGCTTGGAAGGATGGAAGGTTGGTGAAGAGTGGAAGACCCTCAACCTGGGATTGACTTGAAGATTGCCACAGTGGACTCCAGTGTGTCAGGAAGTGTGAAGATGGCACAGGATAGGACAGGGTTCACTGTTTATAGGGGTCGCTATGAGTTGTACTCGACAGCACTTAACAACATCAGCAACAATAACCAAGTAGTAGGAAGCTCTGGTGGCTTAGTGGTAAGAAATTGTACTGCTAATGCTCGGGTACATGGTTTGAATCCACCAGCTCCTTTGCAGTCCCCTTCTGTGTGATTTACTGCCTCTGGAGGGTGAGCTATGGGCTGGTTCCACCCTGATGGCACACATTAGCAACAATGCAATCAACTGGTTCCTGTGTATTGCCTTTTCATTCACACAACTTATTTCTGAGACTAAACATTTTTTTTTCCAGTGGGAGATAGCCTCATTTCACCCAAGGGGAAGAAAATATGTGGCTCCAAACCACTGACTTTTCTGTTAGCAGCCTAATAGATTAGATACCACACCAGCAGGGCTCCTAGCATTTGCTACAGCACTCCTCTCTGTCTTAATAGCTAGGGCTCTACTTGTTCTATACTGATAACAGAGAGATTCTAATACCCCATTGGCTTTTCATCTTAGTTATGACTGACAATCAGCTATAGATTTGCGCTTGGTTATTATTCCTCTGCCTGGTGGAGATGTGGTTGAGCAGAGATGGGGCCCCAGGTGGGGCTGCACAGGTGGGAAGGGCTTGTTGAACACCGAGTCCCTGGTGCTGAGGCTGGGTGATGGTATATACATCTGACAGGCTCCTGGGAATACGCAGGTTGGACAGTGTTGGCCCTAGGGCTCTGAGACGTTTCCGACTTGTTGACGTCAAGATGGACTTGTCTGTCAGTGTGTTGCAGGTGCCATGTACATCACCGGCTTCGCTGAATCCATCTCAGATGTGCTGGGCCTCAGGAACATCTGGGCTGTGCGAGGCATTTCCATCGCAGTGCTTCTGGCCCTGCTGGGGATTAACCTCGCGGGAGTCAAATGGATAATCCGCCTCCAGCTGCTGCTGCTGTTCTTGTTGGCCGTGTCCACGCTGGACTTCGTCGTGGGCTCTTTCACACACCTGGACCCAGGTACGTGTTTCGGAGTTAAGCATCTAGCCGTACGGTGGTATGTATTGCTTTGTAGATGTTAATGCGTGTGAGTTTGCAAGACCACCACCCAAGGGTCTTTACCTACGTTTACTGTGTCCCATTCCTTGACCAGCCAAATGGGTACGTCTTGGTGCAGATCCATGGGTCTAGAAGCGCTCTTCTAGACCTTTGCACTAGTCATATTTTCCATGTTTTTCTTTTACTTCTGGAAGAAAACAAACAGAAGGTTTAGGTAAAACAAAGAAAGCAGAACTGGGTAGATACAGATCAAATGTGTAACAGTGACAGGGGAAAGGAAGCAGAAAATAGATTCAGAGAAGGAACATAGAGCACCTTATATTGTATCTGACATTTATTCTAACTTTAAAAATAAAATAAAAAAAGGATGCAAGACAAACATAACATTTGTCATTCCATAAGGTAGGAGAAGGTATATGCTTGGTTTACTTTTAGTTTTTGGCATTATTATTATTTTTTTTATAAAAATGAGTCCATTAACTAAGTTTAAAAAGAAAATAAACTCTTAGGTATAATAGTGTATCATGTGGAAGCAATCTGTTTGTCACCAACTGGTAGCTGCTTAATCTAACCCTGGTTTCCCCACCCCCAACTTTTGAGAAAGCTTGGCAATTCTAATCCTAAATCCTTATGCTTTAAGTAAGAAGGTATTATCCAGAGCATCCGCTACTCTGGAGCTTTGCGATTTGGGTTGATTGACACCAAAATTCTTGCTGTCCTTTAAAGAATACAAAACTAGTCTTAAGATGCAATAGAAAGAGATAATTTCCTGGGATTTCATACTTCATGGACTTTGTTTTCATATGGCAAACAGCGAGCAGGTGTCTACACTTGAATAGCAACAGGGGAGGTGAAGGTCAGCCACTGTGTAAAATAACCAAACAAGCCCAAAGCCAGAGAACACACCTGTATTAGTGTGGTGATGACAGGAGCTACATTTGACTGAGTGTTTGCTAATTATGCTTAAACCTTTCTATGGCGCCCACTCTTCCTTCCTTCCTTCCTTCCTTCCTTCCTTCCTTCCTTCCTTCCTTCCTTCCTTCCTTCCTTCCTCCTTCCCTCCCTCCCTCCCTCCCTCTCTCTTTCTGTTTTTAATTTTGTTTCTAATGAGTCAAATGTGATAATGGTTACCCATAGTGGACAGTGTTTGGTGGAGCTCCCCTATTAAAACAAGCTTGGAAGCAGGAGTGGCATCCACTTCCATAATAGCTTGCCTCTGGAAACCCTATGAACCTGAAGAAAGGATGAAAGTTATACAGGAGGTGTCTAGAACTTTGGTTCATAGGGTCACTATGAGTCGCCTATAGCTTGACGGCACTTAACAACAACAACAACTAGTTTATTTACAAAGTTCGAATACAAATTTGAACAAATTATTTCCATTTTCTTCACTCCTCCACCCATCAAATTGCCCAACCCAATGATTAACTCCCTCTTCCCCCTGCACATCCTCATCGCTCTGCTTCCAGCCTCTCCCACCCCTCCTGGATCCTTATACTCATTCTACAATAACGGTCTTGTACAATATTTATTATATGGCATATTTCATTGTTACATAACTTCATGAGGTAGGAACAATTACATTCATTTTATGGATGGAAAAACTGGGTTTGAGAGATTATATAACTGATGGGAATGCATATTAGAACCTAGAAGATTTAAAACTACGTCCGTTGGAACCCAGAGCTGAACTAGTATTCTCTTAGGTAGGAAACTGGTCTTGCCCAGCAGCGCCTTTATCTTTGCGCATGCTCCCTTCATCTTTGTACGCGCTCCCTTCAACTTTGCGCATGTTTCCTTCATTTTGCACACGCTCCCTTCACATTGTAGTTATTAACTGCTGCTGAGTCCTTTTCATGATGACCCACAAAGCTTTCTTGTCTAGACATACTCTTTATAACAAAGAAGCTCTGATGTTGTAGTGTGTTATGTCTCAGGCTGTTAGCTGAGAGGTCAGCAGTTCGAATCCACCAGCTGTTCCTTAAGGCAAAGGTGAGTATTAACATCCTGAAAAGATTCACAGCATTGGGAACCTGATGGAGAGTCACTGTGAGTGGGAATAGACTCCACTGCAATGGGATCTTTCCAGCCACAGATCATTCGGTCTATCTTCCAAGGAACCATTGGGTGAATTTTAACTGGCTACGTTTTTGTGAGGCAGAGATCTTAACTGCTTATACTACCAGGGTCCTTTTCCTTCACATACATGTTGAATGGTTGGTTTTGTCTGTGTGGTGTGTTTTTTATCATAGCAATTTTATTTTTCCCCTTTAAAACTGCCTCTCCTGTGCATTCTAACCTATCACTTCCTTTGTCCAAGTGTTTGTAGAAGATTCCGTCTAGCTGTGTTGTTTTTAGGTGCTATCAAGACCAGCATGAGTCACAGCGACCCGATGAACAGGTGTGAACCCTGCCCTATCTTGTGCCATCCACATCATCCCTGACACATTTAAGTCCATGAGGGTCTTCCGCTCTTGTGCTGACCTTCTGCTTTTCCAAGCTTGAGGACTCTTTCTAAGGAACAGCCTCTCCCAGCAACATACCCTAAGATGAAGCTTCATCATCCTTGCCTCCAAGGAGCACTCTGGCTATACTTTTCCCAAGACATATCTTTTTATCTAGCCGTAGCAATTCTTTAATATAAGATACTTTTATTGGAAATAGTCATTGCATGAATTGCTTCTTGAGTGGACCTTAACCTCTGCCAACCTGAGTCCTCCCCCAAGTCCCTAGCCTACCCCACGATCCCTGCACAGAAGGGGTCCTGGACCTGTTGACCCACTGCAGTGCTGAGGGTCAGTGTTGTGTCCACATGCAGTTGCTGAAAGAACATAATCTACTCATTCACTGAGCAATACTTCTTACATCTGTGAAACCCCACCAAGTGGCTTTGTTTTCCTTTTTCTGGATTAGACATTTTCTTGGCTGTTTTTTTCTAACTTATTCCAAGTATTTCTCTTTCCTTCTGGTCAGTACATTAGCTGGGGATAGTGTGAGATGAAATTTATTTTCATTCATTCCCATAGCAACTGACCTCTCTGAAGTCTGTTTTTAGTATCACTGATTTTTTTAAAATCTGTTACTTACGTTGTGATTACAACTCCGAACTGAACTGAGACTGTACCTCTGAGACAGATTTTGCAGAATGATTTTAAATCTTTTAACGAATATTACACATACTTGTTATGTGCCATTCATGTCAGAACAGACTCGTAGCTGAGCCTCCAGTCAGTTTTCAGAGGCTGTAAAGCACACAGGAGGAGATTGCCCATCTTTGTCCCATAGAGCAGCTGGTAGCTTCAAACCATCTGTCTGTGGTTCCTTGCCAGCAAGTCACCAGAGTTCCCTATGTATCTATGCAAACAGATAGTTAAAATAAGCTTGGAAAGAACTGTGTGCAAGTGTTTAGAGTGATTATCTTTGTGCTGAGATTAAAAACTGGACCAGTTGCTGTCAAGTTCATTGTGATTCCTGACCATGTCTTGTGTTTAGGAAAGGATTGTACTGCATAAGCTTTTCTGTGGCCACCATCTTTTAGAGGTAGATCATCTAGGCTTTCTTTCTAGGCATGTCTGGCTAGGTTTGAACTACCAACCTCTCCTTTAATAGCTAACTGCTTACTTGTTTGGGCCACACAAGGGCTCTCTACTGAGATTATGTTGTTGTTATGTACTGCTGAGTCAGAACCAACCCATTGCTGACCCTGCAGCAGGGTTTCAGCAGCAGTTAATCAGATGGGAGGAGAGTCTCCCTATTTCATGTGCAAAGCAGTTGTTGGTTTTGAACTGCGTACCCTTGGGTTAGCAGCACAATATCTTACCACTAAGCCACCAGAGCTCCCTGAGATTATAGGTGGCTGGCTATATTATACTTTTCCTTCAGTTGGGTGTGTTGATGTTGTTAGGTGCCATAGAGTAGAATACAACTCATAGCAACCCTATGAACAACAGATCTGAACCCTGTGCCATCCATATAATCTCTGACACACTCAAGTCCATTCTTGCAGTCACCATATCAATCCATCTGGTTGAGGGTCTTCCTATCTTTTGCCAACCCTCCACCTTTCCAGGCATGATGTCTCTCTCCAAGGAATAACCTCTCCTAGCAACATGCCCAAAGTATGTGAGATGAAGCCTTTTTATATTTTCCAGCAAGGAACACTCTGACTTCACCTTCTCGAAGCTATTCCCATTTGTTCTTTTGACAATCTATAGCCTATTAAGTACTCTTCTCCAACACCACAACTCAAAGGCATAAATTCTTCTTGTGTCATCCTCATTCATTTTCCAGTTCTCAGATGCATAGCAAGTGATTGAACAATACCATAGCCTGAATCAGCACACTTCAGTCCTCAAAGTGCCATTATTCTTTCTCAATAATGTAGTGAGGTCCCTTTAGTGCACAGACTTTGCCAGTGTAATATATCTCCTGACCTCCTGACTGCTGGTATCAACCCAGTGTGTTGATTGTGGACCCAAGTAAGATGAAATTGTTGACAATTTCAATACTTTCTCCATCTATCATGATGTTGCCTATCAGTCCAGTGGTAAGAATTATGTTTTCAATTGGTTAGTGCTACTTTTTAAAAACTAATGGACTTTTAATTAAGAGCAGTTTTATGTATAGAGAAAATTGATCAGATAAGAGAGAGTTTCCATAAACTTCGTGCTTCAGGCTTTTCTCCTTTATGTTCTTTATGATTAGCATCTTGCATTAGTGAATTATATTTGTTATAAATGATAAATTGGTATTGACAGATTTTTATTAACTAAAGAGCACAGTTTACATTAAGGCTCACTTTTTTGTTGTATAGTTTACATTATACAACAGTTGGAAGGAGACTCATTAATAACCTACATTATGCAGATGACATAACCTTGCTTGCTGAAAGTGAAGAGGACTTGAAGCACTTGTTGCAGAAGATCAAAGAATACAGCCTTCGGTATGGACTGCATCTCAAT